CGGTGGTCCGTTTTTTCCATCTTTTTTTACTCATTTGTTCTTGATGCCGTGATTTGGTTACTATGGGTTGGTGTTGGCTTCGCTCTTGGTTCTTTGTCCTTTGCTGTTGAGCATTGGTTCGTTCAAGTTTCTGTCTTGGCGCTATCCTGTCCTTCTAACATCGCCGTTTCTGGGAGTTTACAAGATGCAGTTGTCGCTTGCCAGTTCATTCTGTTTCTGGGAGTTTTCAAGTTGAAAATCTTGCTTGTCAGTTCATGAAACCTTGATTCTGGCCTGACGTAGGAGGTAGTTTAGTTTTATTGGTTGGCCATTGGCAGCTTCGATACTATCGGTCTTGGGGTCTCCAGAAATTTTAGAAGATTTGCGAGTTCAAAGTTGTATCCTTCTTTAATTTTTCTGTGTGAATTATGTTTTAGATTCGGTTTCTTTGAGTGGTTTTTTAGATTTGCAATGATGTATTCTTCAAACGAATCCTTCAAATGTAACTTTTCTAGTGGTTTAATATAAATTTCAGACAAAAAAAAAGTGTAACACTAGATAAAAGACTTCTCATCATTCAAAGATAATTATCAATATTATATTTGAAAGCTCGAAGAGTCACCTTTAATGTCCAAGTGAATTCAAGTCCATATGTGCAACCAATAAAAAGTAATGACAACTTTACTAGTAACAACAAACGTTATAACGTCAAAACGCTGAACGGCCCTTCAATTGATACATCAACGAATCTTTGAAACAGGTTTTCCGATGTCTTGCTTGTTTTATGCGACTGATTTTTTTTTGTCAAAACTGTAATCTCCATCTCCAGCCACGCTGAATACGATAGTGTATTTAGACATTTTGTTTCTAAACCATATATGCAAAGATAAGAATGTCGTATCAATGGTCGTGATCAAAATCCATTAATTTGACTTGAACTGACACTTCTGTCTACTAACCTGCAAGAAAAGGAAACATGAAAAACGAATGGAGAGATGTGTAATGTGGATTACCCAGAAGAATGAACCCTAACTAGTCTAACTACAAAATACTATACCATAAACGTCTAGACGAGGCTAAACAGCACAGCCAAACTTATACATTACTATGCAATCACACACCTCATATCATGTCCCACAGACACACACACAACAAGAAACGACTTCCTAGACTTTATGGTGTCCGTGCATCCATTCTGGTTTTGGGAATCTACCCATCCACCCATGCAGCACTGACTGTGGTAACTCGATATGTGGCTCAGGGAGCAGCCATCCACCCACATAGCACCATGACTCATCAGCCAAGATGGGTTACGATCGCCCACGCAAGGCATTTCACCATAACCCAGCATATAAAAGTATCACACAGTGAGGATAAAATCTGTTCCACTTGTGATTTCAACTGCCGATACAGCCACCACAAAGGCCTTTCAGCAATCACATTCTATCTTCTCGCAAACGATAACACTCCCACGATCTAATTTTATTTTTAATACTCAGCTGTATTTCATCTTAACATTGTTAACCACATCTACATTATTGATGTCGGAGATGACACATAGTATAACCGTCTCGCGGTTTGCTTTTCGGAAGTGTAATTCCTTTGACCAATAATGTGCTTTCTCGGGACATACGAATAAGGTCGGAGTTGATATCCTTTTTTCATTCGCTTCTCCGAAAGTCTGACTACTCCGGCTGGAACCGTACTCCCTCAAAATGCGTGACAGGGTCGAGGTTGACATCTTTTTTGCTTCTCCGGAAGATTAACTCCCCAACTAGTACCGTACTCCCTCGGGTGCATGGCATGGTTAGGGAGAGTCCCTATCTAAATATAATCCATTTCCTTTCTAGAACTCAGCACCACCCAGACTGGTATCGTACCCTTCAAATACGCGGAAAAGTCATCGTGTTAATATAACATTTTACGGCAAAAAACTTAGGAAATCGGATAACTTATGTTCACTGGGCATAAAACCCCCAAAAAGTCGACTCCTTGACTCATTTCCCAAATCAGTCAAGAAGTCAGGGCAACTGTTAGGGACATATTTCACTACGTCCATGGATGGCACGGCATGTGGATGTCGAACGACCCTAGACGCTGACACAGCTTGCTAGCTCGGCCAAAATCTCCTAACTCACTGTTCCTGGACAGTTGACAGGCTTCCCAAATCATGCATGTGCCACCAACCCACATGCTCCTCTGGTGCGCCAAACAGATGAGACAGGATGGGGAAGACTTGTATAAAAGGTGAGACACCCTCAAGAAATGAAGGAGGGCAGAAAAAACAAGAATAGAGAGAGAATGAGGATAGGAAGAGCTCTCCTTAGTGTTCGGTCTAAAAAGAGAAGATCCAACTCCGTCCCAGACGAGCCCGACACTGCCAAGCAGCATAGTCAAGAGACACTCTTCTCCGTTTCCTCGAGACACCGCCAAGTAGGATAAGTCCTCTCTTGACTCGGAGCTTGCCTTTATACTCGATAAACCCCCTTTTTCATCATAGAACCCTTCTCAAACACTCATAAACAAACAACTATCTCGATTACTGGACGAGACATCTAACCTAAACCTGCAGAAGCACCCTCCTGATTATCTATTCCCGGTAGGACGTTCGTTAAATTTGGCGTCGGAGAACCTTCGGGAGGAAAACACCCTTCCGGTCCCCTGAAAGCTCGACTGACCTTTTCTGTAGTGCTCGCAGGCTCGTACAGGTCCTCGCCCATGCCTGCTGGACACAAATAAGCTTTCGCCCCGAAAGGACTCGCTGCATTTCCTCCTAGAGGATGAAACTCGGAGGCACAACTCCACTTCCCAGACGAATATCACACCTCTATGTGGCATCACAATATTTACTCCCAAACAAATATGGTATAGTTTAATGAGTAATTTATTTTATACTTTTATTTTTCATTCAAAACAAATTTGTTTTTTGACAAATATATATATTACTTTATAATATTCACGGCAACAATTTTATTGTATATAACATGCAATCATCCAGACAAACATTCCTATCAGAAAGCATACTAACAAATACTTTAAAATCATTTTATCAAAAAAAAAAAAGTTCAACAATTCCAGCATAAATAAAAATGACTATATACACTTAATGACTCAAATTTTTTGACAAATTGAAATTTGATTATTTTTGTTGTATTACCATACTTAAACTAGATGTTTACCTACAATTATGTATCTTAATAATATTTCACATATTTTACTTATTATTTATATTACTAGATACTTATATTTAATTAAAATTTTATATAATGATATCACTATTATATATATTAAATTAATTTTATTGTATGTTATATATGTTTTTTTATTTTTTAAATGTTTTTGTTCTCTTAATATAAATATATATCTATATTGTAAATTATTTTCTAATATAGATTATAGTATATTAATTGTTTAAAAAATATTTCATATATTTATATACTGCAATAAGTATTATATGTGTTCTTATTGTCTATTTGTATTCAATTGATTTCTCATCTTTTTCTACATCTTATTTTCATAGATCAACAAAGTGAAATCATCATCAATCCTTCTCTATTTTAAACTAAATATTCCATTAATTTTATATCAATTTTAAAAAAATCTAACTCATTTTCAAGCACATATAATCTTTTATTTGTTTTTCCTTTCTTATAGCTCTTAGTCTCGCTATTCTGATTGCAATTTACTTGTTTTTTCTCTTATTTCATGCAAGCTTCCATCTCATTCAGTTCTGTGATCTATTATAACTCTAAATGAGGAGAATTTTAGTTAGAATTGGCTAGACAGAGCAAAAGATATGTTCAGATATTATATATGTTTGATGGATTTTCATATAAAAAAATTATGCGTACTTGATAAATTATTGATTTTACTTGATTTGAGGCGTTTTCCTTTTTTTAGTGATGAACTACTTTACTATATTTGTGAATGTATGTGAAAATATTTTTGTCTATTTTCATATCATGTGAATGTAAACAACATGACTATGTTAAAAAGTATAATCCATAATCTTGTTTTAGTTTAATTATATTTAGATTAAAACTTATATATTATCTGACTGATGAGTAAAGTGATCGCATATCAATTTTATATTACCATCATTGAGAATAAATGATTGATAAGTATTTGCCATGTTTTTCCTCTTTTGTATAAATCAAATTCATTTCTATGCTATATAATTAAACACTTTATTTATGAAAAAATTTCATTCATTTTATACAGTAAAGTGGATATGAATGAATAAATTTAGTTTTCAGCATTAATATTTTTGAGCATTTTTAAATAAGTTTGATAACTATTCTTAGCTAGTTCTTCTGTCATCTTTCGTAAATGTTCACTTTCCAACTCTTCTTTCAAATTCTGTTTGTTTATATTCAAAATAATTTTTTTGAATTTTGTTTATTTTAAAGAGAATTTGTAGTTTTTATAGTTTGTAAAATAAGTATTTGTTTTATATATATAATTTTACTTTGGCTTTATATATAAATCTTTCTAAAGTTTTTTTAAAGTTTGACAGTTATTTTCTGTATTTTTTTCCTTAATCTTTTATATTTGGTTGCCTTCCAAACTCATTTTCACAAATGAATAATTTGTAATTTTATGATTTGTAAAATAAATTTGTTTTTAATTTCAAATGAATCATATTAAAAGCTCAAAAATAAATACCCAAAATAAAAAAACTTAAAAACAAAATCCAAAATATTTAAAAGCACATTTTAAAATTAAAAATATACTGATGTGGACTCCTTAAATGGAAAGATAACTTGCTCATTATATATATAATTTGTAATGTTTTTTAAAAGTATATTTTATATTTGTTTAATAAAATATTATTTTAATTAATATTTAAGAATATAATGTAAAATACTATTTTTATTTAAAAGTTAAAATTGAAGGTTTATTATTGGAGAAAAACACCTTCAAAATGAATTTTTCTCTGTTAAAGGACGTCGTTTACTGAGTTAGTTAATGTGTCTAAGTCGCATCATGGACAGAAAAAAAAAACCGAATCAACGACTTCGAGGAGTCAAAGTGAAGACAATTAATAAATACAGAGAAAGGGAGAAGAAAAGTCATCGCCAAAAATCTGCATAGCTAAGCTAAGAACCTCCGCGTCAATGGCGATTTCCAAGCTCCAGCTGCTCTTTCTTCTTTCACTCATTCTCTCCCTTTATCGTCATGTTCTTTCCTTCTCTGGTACGTAACTCTTTCATTACCGCAAGAATCTCCTCGATTTTTGAACTTAAGTATCTCTAGTTTGTGTCGTGATATTGACATAGATCTGGTCTGAAAATCTTTTAATCTGTTTCATTCATGCTTCCTTATTCCAGTTTCTTCTCTACATTTTGAATCTTGATCTTTGGATTTTCAATTTATTCGAATTTATATACTGTTCTTACTAAATTACTTGCGATTGAGATTGCTTTCTTGTGTTTGTAATCCACAGATGAGGAAGACCTTCTTCTTAAAAGCATCAACAACTACAGAACATCCTTAAATCTAACAACACTAACACCAAACGACGACGCATATTGTCTCGCAGACGAAGTCTCAGACCAATTAAAGAACCGAACCTGCACAAACACCACTGGCTTAGCTTCAGTCCCTGGATCCGAATCTGGATTTAAAAACTACCCTACCCTCCTCACAAAATGCCATCTCAACGCAACAGCAAACGGAGACGGTGTGATAATGACAGCTTGTGTTCCAAAACTTGATCCAAGCCTTGTGTTGACCAATTTCACAAAGTCAAACTACACTAAGAACCTGAATGATTCTAAGTTCACTGGAATTGGTATTGGCTCTGATGACGATTGGATTGTGGTTGTCCTCACCACAAAGACACCGGAGGGTAGCGTTTCTCCGGCGGTTATTTACCGTACCGGAGGAGGTTTCACATTCGGTGTTAATGGCTTCGTTAACTATTTTCTTTTGTTGGTTCTTCTCTTTTGTTTCTTCATGTTTTGAGTCCCAATCTTGTTATTTTTGTCTTTTTCATGTTTTAAATAAGGTCATTGTCTTTGTGTTTTCTCTATCGTTTTATTTACACTGGCAAGTTTCTTCTTCTTTTAAAGATTCTACAACAAACAAAGATAAGTTTTTAGTCTTGAAATTTATAAAAGAATATTACCTCACTAGATGATAGTTTTGGTTAGATTATCAACGTCGTTTGTAGGAAATTCAACCAATTCATATTTAAACACATTTATGCGATTCAACCAATTCATATTTAAACACATTTATGCGGTCCGGTCCGGACCAACCGGACCAACATTATTATCATGTGCTTAAACATACTCTAATGTATAATAAATTTAAATTACATACTTTTCCACAAGCCGGCTACATTATACGTTGATCAGGAATCTGTTAGTGAATCGTTTATTAGGTGAGCATCTCTATAATTCTATTTTTCATCTCCAGATAGAACAATTGTAAAATAGAATTGCATTTATTTCCAATATACCATTCTATTTCTTATTCTATTTCTTTTTCTGTTTTATTATTAATTATTAATTGCTAATTGATCTATAATTTCTTCAAACATTTACAAATTAATTCAATAAAAAATTTCAAAACTTTTCTAAATTATACCAAACTTTAAATTTAATTATTTTAATATAAAAACGCATTACACTATATCAAAATGATAAAACAAACTTTAAATTTAATTATTTTCGTTTTAATTTTAGTGTTTTAATATTTATAATTAATCAATAAAAAGAAATTACCAATAAAATAATAATTTAATTAGTTTACAATTATTTAAAATTTGAAGGACCAATTTATAAATAAAAAAAATTAATTCCATAATAGAATGAAAAATGAAATGGTTCCAAATTGAAACCAAACATAACATTATTCTATTTTAGAATCAAAAATAGAATAGGGTTAGAGCTAAATTTATACTAAAATAGAATATAGCTTCAGATCTAGAATTGGGTTGGAGATGCTCTTGCGGATTAAACGTCTACGTTGTTTTGATTAAAAAAGATTGTTATAAAAATTAAACAAAATGACATCGTTCTGATGTGTGAATTTACAAAAAAAAAAAAAAAAGTTCATCCTCTTCGTGACATGAAGACACAAGATCTAACAAAAGATATAGTGGAATTTTAATGACAATAATTCCAAGTTGAGTTTCAAAGATCAAGCCATACAGACAAGCTGTTCACGAAATCCAGATCGGATTCTTTGGTAACGTCAGTAGCTTGCATCTATAACATGATAAAGAAAATCGTAACCTCAAAATGTAACTCTATTGATAATCAGAAATGAATTAAATGTTTGTAAAACGAATAATCTGAGAATGCCTTAAGACATCTGAATCAAAGAAAGAGATTCTTAAAAAAAGTTTACAAAAGAGAATCGAAAGAAGAAGAAAATAATTCTTACTACAATATTTTTCGATTAATTTGCCACTCTCGATAGCTTCCTTTTAATGTAATATCAACATGTAACTCAATTGATAATCAGAAATGAATCGAATGTTCCTAAAACAAAGAATTTGAGAACACCTTAAGACATCTGAATCAAAGAAAGAGATTTTTAAGAAGAGTTTACAGAAGAGAATCGAGAGAAGAAGAAGATGATTGTTACCACAATATTTTTGATTCATTTGTCAAACTCTCGATAGCTTCCTTTTAATGTTTGCACCGAAGTTCTCTTTTAATCCTGACCATTGATCTCTCTATTGGGGGAACACAAAACGCAACAAAGGTGCAGCGGAATAAAGTTCCATGCACTTGTGTGAACCTGTGAGAAATATACTTGTTGAAGATGCGAGATCAGCGGACAACTCAAACAGAACATCAGGAGACATGAAGGCGTGGAAGCTCGTAGCTGACGTGAAACTGATGACCTGGCGATACAAGGGATAGATTCAAATCTACCTTGGAGATCACTCGAAGATATTCGATAAATGGAAATCTTGCCGTAAGAGAGATTTAGGGAAGGTTCTAGGTTTGGACATGGGTTAGTATAAAAAGAGAAATCGGGCAAAATTTATGGGATACACTTTGTGCCGCAATTGTTCTAGGATACCTTGTGCTTCAAGAGCAAACACGAAGCAAGAAGGTTAGTGTCCTCTTCTCTGATACACGGGCTGTATGATCATGTGAAGAGTAGTTAAGAATCTTTTGGGGGCTTTCTAAGGTAGAGTTGCATAATTCCAAACAATTGTAATCGGTTGATTATGTTTTTGATTCAAGTTAATAAAAGCTAAGCGTTGGACTTGGCGCTTTCCAAGTCATAAATTGAGTGTGCATGTTTTCTACACTTACAATTGGTGTCAGAGCAGGCATCTGCTAAAGATTGTCTTTTCTTATTAATCAGGTGTGATTGTGGGACAAAGTATGGAAAACATGCAGCATCTCGGTTCGGGCAAGTCACTTGTGCTCGATGCAGAAAACTATGGATGGTGGAAAGTCCAGATCAAGGCTCTCATCAAAGGGTATGATGAAGGCGCCTGGACTATGGTTGAAGAAGGCTGGACTGAACCAACGATCGTTGGAGCTGATGGAGTGAGAAGACCCAAACCAAGACTGACGTTGACAGCTGAAGAAAAATCTTGGTCAAAGTTTAACACCAAAGCTCTATCAATAATCTGGACTTCGCTCACCAAGGATCAGTTCAAGAAAGTTCAGGGATGCACCACTGCTAAGAAAGCGTGGGATACACTTCAGACTGCGTATGAAGGGACTTCTACTGTCAGAAGAACTCGGATGGATATGGAAGCCTCTCAGTTTGAAACGGTGACTATGGGACCAAGAGAATCAATTGAGCAGTTCAGTGGTAAACTCAGTGCTATTGCACATGAGGCTCAAGTACCAGGAAAAACATACAAGGATAAGAAACTGGTTAAGAAGTTACTGCAGAGTCTACCTGATAAGTTTCAGGCTCATATATCAGCTATTGAAGTTTCAAGAAACTCGGATGAGATGAAGTTCAATGAGATTGTGGGAATGTTGCAAGCATATGAGATGCAGCAATCGCAGAAGAATCAGACAAAAGGAAAAGGTGTAGCGTTCTCAGCTGAACAAGGCGAGCCTCAGGAAATCAACCTTGATGATCAAGTTGGATTGATAGTCAAGAAATACTTTAAGAAGTACGATAGAGGTCAACGCAAGTCAGGCTCTGAAGGAAGAAGATACAACACTGATTTCAAGTCTGAACCGGGATCGAGGAAGTCAGAAATGCAGTGTCACGAATGTGAAGGGTATGGACATTTTAAGACTGAATGTCCAACGACCAAGAAGAGGATATCACTCAAGTGTCAGAAGTGCAGTGGCTATGGACATGTCAGGACTGAATGTGTCACTCAGGACAAACGGAATGAAAAATCATTGATCAGTAAGGACGAATCTCAATCAGATGGGAGTGAAAGCGATGATGAGTCATTACTGAACTATGTAGCCTTCCTTGGAGTAATTAACGAAGGTGCAGAGTCTGGGGGAGAATCTACTAAGGACGATGAGTTTAATGATAAAAAGATCTTGGCGGAAGAGAACAGGACTCTATGTCTTGCTATGGTCAATGCAAGCAAAAAGAAGGAAAGTTTCCTGCAAACAGATCTCTAAGAAGGATGAACAGATCACAAAGCTGCAAGATAGCATCCAAGTCAACACTCAGATAATTGTAGAGAAGGATGACAAGATCTTTGCTCTACAGTATGAGGTTGAAATTGCTGAAAACCAGCTTGCTGAGTAAGTCAAATACTTAGACTTTCACAAAAAAATGCTGGTTTCGGAAGAACAAGAGAAAAATCGAGAGCTGAATGGGCATATGACAGTACAACTTAGAAACATCAAGATGCTCTCTAAGGGAACCAAAGATCTGGATAAACTCCTGAGCATTGGGCAATCTAAGCAAGAGCTGTTTTGGTCTTGGATATGCTAGAACTACCTCTGGTCAATCAACTAAATTTGTCTGCGGGTCAGAAACTCCTCAACAACGTCAACAATCAGTTTGTTCTGACACAGTTCAGAAAAATCAGAAAGCTATTGGTTCTGTGAAAAGTCAAGCGAAAAAGGCTAATGCTCCAGTCCAAGGAAGTAGAGCATTGAAGCATAAAGTCAGTGAGTTCTATAGACATGGAAGGTTATCTGGATGTTACTACTGTGGTAAACTAGGGCACATTAAGATCCACTGCTATCGTCTTCAGGAAAACATTCAGCATTGATAAAGCAAAATCAGTTCTTCTGGAATGGAAAACACCGGAACCACAAATGGGTCAAGAAATCAAAGTATGCTCATGAACGTGCACTCACAGTTGTGCCCACAAGACATGAGTCAGAAGACTCAGCGTGGTACTTTGACAGTGGATGCTCACGACACATGACAGGCACTCAGACTGGGCTGACTAAATTTGAAAGTGTGTCAACTGGTAGAGTAACCTTCGGTGTTGGTGCTAAAGGAAAAATAAAAGGTGTAGGAGGAACTCCCGGCCCACACAAACCACACCTATCTGAAGTTTACTTTGTTGATGGGCTGAAAACAAATCTGATTAGCATCAGTCAGCTCTGTGATGAAGGATTATCAGTACGATTTACAAAGGACTCTTGTCAAGCCGTGACAGATAAGGGCCAAATTGTCATGTATGGAACTCGAACAAACAATACAAATGGACCTCTCCTCCAATTCAGTGTTTCAGCACCAGTACCGGCGTACACACTGGCATGCATCTGTGACATATGAAGCTTGGTCACATGAATGTCCGAACAATGTTGAGATTAGCTGAAAAAGAACTAATCCGTGGCATTCCTAAAATAAAGCTCGTTCCTGATTTTGTGTATGGTCCTTGCACACAAGGCAAACAAGTGCTTGTGCAACACCGAGCTGTACCTAATATACAGACTCACCGAGCTTTTGATTTAATTCACATGGACCTCATGAGACCGATGCAAATGGAGAGCATTGGAGGTAAGAAATATGCTTTTGTTCTGGTTGATGATTTCACTCGATATGCTTGGGTTAGGTTCATTCGTGAAAAATCAGACACGTTCGACAGCTTTAGAATTCTTGCTCTACAACTAAAGACTGCACGGCTGAATGGTATAAAAACTATCAGAAGCGATCATGGGGGAGAATTTCAGAATGAAGTCTTTGATCGTTTCTGTAGTGAACAAGGGA